AAGGGCGGGAGCATGGGCCACTCGGGACGCCCGGAGGGAGCAGCGCCAACCACGGCTGGGGACAGGGCTGGCTCAAAGACCCCTCTGGGCCTTGGTTCCCGTGTATGGGACCTGGAACGTGGGTTCAGTGGCTCCCGGTGACCAGGGCTCGGAAATCCAAGATGGGGCTTCCTTCCTTTTGGGATTTTTTTGTTGTTGCTGTTCTTTGAGACACGGTCTCACTATGGAGCCCAGGCTGGCCTCAAACTCAAAGCAACCCTCCTGCCTCAGCCTCCCGAGTGCTGGGATTGCAAGCAAGCGCCACCACGCCTGGCTCCAGGTCTATGTGACAGAGCGAGGAGCTAGGAGAGCCAGGCCCCTCTGCACACTGAACACCCATGGCGCTAGGGCTCTCGCCGAAACGTCAGTCGGACCCCGGGAGCACTGAGCAGGGAGGGTCACGGGCACAAGCATCTTCTGAATACTCGGGGCCCCATCCGCCCGCTCCCTGCACACCTCCAGGTCGATCTTGAGGCCCTGGTGGTAGACTTCCGTCTCGAAGGTGATCAGGTGCAGCTCCTCGGTCACGATCAGGGAGGCCTGCGACACGGCACCGCGGGGTCACAAGGGCCGCGTAGCTGCCACCCTCCCCTCTCTGCCCCGGCGCCCTCTTTCAGGTTGGCACTGCCCGGCTTTTCCTGAAGAGTTACACACCTGCATGGCTAAACAATTCCGCGGCACTGAGTTTGGGATGCCTGTGAACTGTACATTCTCCTTTGGGGCTCACATTTCACTCACTGCGAACCCGTATGGCTGTGCTTTCTACACTGGGGCTATCAATTCTCCACCGCGTGGATGAGCACTGCCTGGGATGTATCTAGAGCCCAAAAATGCTGTGCCATTTGGCAGCTGTCTGCTGCTGCGTTTATGCAAAGATTTCTGCTTTTAATTCCTGGGGCTGCTCCTGCTGTACTGGCTGAGGGGTCCAGGGCCATGCATGCTGGGCCAATGCTCTGCCACTGAACCACATCCCTAGCCCAGGGCATCACTACTTTTTATGATTAAAAATTAGTTTGAGGTCATGTGTGCCTACTTTTAATTTCTTTCTTAACGCTAAGAATCCAATAATCTGAATCACTGGCCAACAACAAACATTAGGAAGAAAGAACAAGGCAAGCTTGGGCTTTTGTTTTTGAACCAGGGTCTCACTGTGTAGCCCAGGTTGGCCTTGGGCTCTTAGAGATCCTCCTGCCTCGGCCTCCTGAGTGCTGAAATTATAGTTACACACTACCAAATTATAGGTGTGCCATGGCTGGACTGGGTTAAGGTCTAACTCCGACTTATTCCACGGACAGCTTCTATCTCATCTCAGTGATAAAAACAGATCACTAAAAAGGCCGTTTGTTTCTCCGTGCGGTGTGGATGTCACTCCGCGAGGACGGCACCTGTCCTGCCCACAGGAGTCCTGACGCCGGGAACGCCGAGCACCACCGCACCCGGGACAGCTGGCCGACCTCGCGGTGGCCCCGTCCCCACCCCTGGGCCATCCCACACTCACGTCGCAGTTGGCGCGGCCCCCGTTCCCACACCTCTGCTCCCGGAGGGTCTGGAAGAGAGAGGGGAGTGAGTGTGCAGGCCACCCTCGCAGCCCACGCAGGGACGGGACGGAGACGGGACGGGACAGGGACGGGACGGCTCGGCAGCTGCACGCACCAGGTGCTTGAACTCGGCCGAGAGGCTGCCGTTGTTGGATTCCTCCATGTTCATCACCTTGGTGTTCGTGCCCAGGATGTTGAACTTCCGGGACCTGAGTCGGGAGCAAGGCTGACGGTGAAGGAGTGGTCAGGGCCCGGGAGCTGGCTGGGCGGCACCGGGCCCTCAGCCGCACTTACCCGCGCAGGGCCGCCACGTCCCCCGAGTCCCTGCAGAGAAGGGGAGTCGGTGAGTCAGGCCGGTGTCGGTCCGCTGTCGCCGCCCGCCGGGAGCGAGGCCGGTCACCTGTGCTCCCGTCTCACCCTTCTTGTTTTCCTGGTGTTTTTGAGCCGCGGTCTCACTGTGATCTCGAACTTACGGCGATCGTCCTGCCTCAGCCTCCCAGGGCTGGGGTGACAGGTGTGCGCCACCACGCTCAGCCCCTCCCCCGAGAGAGCTGGAACTATTCTTCCCAGAGTGATCTCTTTCTTTTAAGCCTATGTTTTTGGATTTAATCACTTTTATATTGGCAGATTTCTCAGTTTTTACATTTAAAAAAATTTCTGAGCACCATTTCAAAGCTCCTCTCCATTTCTGTACATTCATCTGCTCTAAGGGGCTTTTTTTTTTTTTTTGGTTTTTTTTTTCCTTTTTTTTTTTTTTTGGTCTTTTTTTTCACTTTTCTTTTTTTGATACTGGGAATCAAACCCAGGGCCTCGCGCTTGCCAGGCAGGCAACATTCGCCTACTTTAAACAGCGTATTCCCCATTGTTTCCAGAGAAAAATCTAGCACTTTATTTATTTATTTTTAGTACTGGGGATCAAGCTCGAGTCCTCCCTCTTTCGAGTAGGGTGGTGTTGCACTGAGCCACACCCCTGGCCTGAGAAAATCCACCACTTTAAAGCCATCTCAGGGCATCTTTCCACGTGTATTTCACAACCTGAGTCGACTGCAGTGTCGCACACCCGTGATCCCAGCTCCTGAGAGGCTGAGGCAGGAGGATCGCCATGAATTTGAGGCCAGCATGGACTGCACAGTGAGACCCTATCTCAAAAGATCAAAAAACTCAACCAGTTTTGAAGCCAGGCCCTGGTCACTGTCACCCCAACTACTCAGGAGGCGGAGACAAGAGGGCAGCTTGTGGAGACAGCGCCTCAAGAACTGAGAACGGACAGGGGTGAGACTCGCGGCAGCGCGCTGCCTGGAGTGTGAGGCCAAGTTCAATCCCGGGACTCAAAAGGAAACAGCGATCTTTGATTTTAAAACACACAGCAATGGCTGCTCAACTGTAAAAGGAAGGGAAATGGGGAGCAGCTGTGGTCAGGAGGGAGTTTCAGTTTCGCAAAACCCACTGGACACCTGCTTCATGACAATGCCGCGGCTCAGATGTGCCTACGATGGGCCATTTCATGCTGGTGTTTTTTTATTTCACTACCTTTTAAAATGTTTTGTTTTGTCTTGTTTTGCAATACCAGGGACCAAACTCAGGACCCTGCACAACAGCAAGCACTGGCAGGCGCAGCACACCTGAGCCATATCCCTGGCCCTAGAATCTTTAAATTTAAAAGTAAAGTGGTTTGCAAGCTGGGCATGGTGCCACACACCTGTCATCCCAGCTCACGGGAGGCTGAAACAGGAGGATCACTGCTGAGGTTCAAGGCCAGCCTGGGCTACATAGTGAGACCCCCACCTCAGAAAGCAACAAACAAAACAGGAAACTGGTTTGCTCTGTTTTGTTTTTGGTCAGCTAAGATATGACAGGGAAAGCGTTTTATGGACTGTAAAGGGTCCTCTTCAGATCTGGTTGGTGCCCGTTCCCCAGGAAGCATCATCTAGAGTGAGGTTCTCCCGCACGTCAGGAATACAACGGCCCATCACGTTGTAAACTCTCTCTCCCCTCGCTCAAATCTGTTTCCTCCCAAAACATTCTAAGGCAGTCACTAAACTTATCACGATGTTTTATTGCTGCTGCGTACCGTGAAATCATGCCTGTGTTTAAGCACAGGGTCTTACTCTGCAGTCCAGGCTGGCCTAGGACTCCCAGAGACCCTCCTGCCTCAGCTCTCGTGAAGTTACCAACTCTGACATAGTTATCTGTTAAACACACCAGCATCGGCTCCTCCCATTTCCTTAATAATTACTCTCCCGTTTATTCTCGGGAAGTTTTCAAGCAATTGTGTCATCTGAAAGGAAGTTCACCCTGTCTCCGCGTGCCTTCAGGGTGCACACCTTACGGCACCACCAAATGGAAGGCACTGGGTCAGAGCATGCCTTCCCCGGGTGCTGGGATTCGAACCCATGGCCTGTGCCCCCCAGTAAGTACTCCGCCCCTGAGCTGTGTCCCCAGGCCCACAAACATAAAAGGAAACAAGGATCCGTCCTGTTCCGGTGCCCTCCGTCTTGGGTAAAATGCGTAAATGGCATTCACAAGTAAAACGACGGCAAAGAGCTTGAGACAGAGGAACCAGGGCCAGCGGCACCTCTCCACCCTTCGCGAGCCAGCAGCAGCAGCTGGGGTCGGGGACACTCACTTGTCAATGCACACTTTGATTTTAAGCTGATAATTCAACTCCGGGAACTTCACCAGCAGCCTGTCAAACAAAGACGATGCAGCTCTAAGCTCAAAGCGCTGCCTGGGCACAGGAAGTCAGGGCTGGCCGGACCACAGAGCTAGGCCTCAGCTTCAGAACCAAGGAGAACCCAAGACCCCGGAAAGCTCCCAGCGGAAGGAGGTGGCCCACCTGACTTTGGTGGTGAACTGGACGCCAGTCTTGATGACTAGGGGTCGGTCGGGGTGCATGGGCATGCAGGGCTGCCGCTCCACCACGAAGGCGCTGCGGAAAGGGGACAGCCGGTCAGCTCCAGCCCCACCCGAGGTTGGTCAGCCTTTCACTGCAGGGTGCAGTTTCTTTTTTTTCTTTCTCTTTTTATTTTTGCAGTACAAGGGATTGAACTCAGGACCTTGTGCTTGTGAGGCAAGCATGGCGCCACTGAGCTAAATTCCCAGGTCTTTTCTTTTTTGAAAGAGGAAGTGGGAAGCCAGGCATGGTGGCGCACACGTGATCGCAGCTGTCGGGAGGCTGAGGCAGGAGGATGTGGCCTGGGCTCCATGGTGAGTTCAAGGCCAGCCTGAATTACAGAGTGAGACCCTGGCTCAAGAAATCCAACCCAAACGTAAGCAGGAAGAGGGCAGCACTGGAAGCCACCTTTTCATCAGGTTTCGGAACAGCTCCACGATCCTCTCCTCCAGCATGGGCCGGTGCTGCACGATGGGGTCGCCCTTGTAGGACACTTTCTGCTGCAGCTCCTCCAGCTTCTTAATCTGCTGGCGCGTCTGCAGCTGTGACTCCGCCAAGGAGGTGATCCTGCCAGGGCACAGCCGTCAGGCCACCGCGTTCCCAGGGCCGGGCAGGACCCCGGAGCCCTGGGTCCAACCTTCCCCACACTGGTTGCCACACTAGCTCCGCAGCCGTGAGGGCGCAGGGTCCCAGGACCCGACCTCCGGCCGCTCCCTGCCGAGTCCGCCTCCTGACTGATCCAGCCACACGGAGCCGCCATCTCCGCCCCTTCACGGGTTGTCACCACAGCGACATCGCCCGGGCGTCGACCACTGCCGCCTCTGGGTGACGGGATTTCCCGATTTCTCTACTCTTTATTAACTCTATTTTGAACTATTTTTCTCCTTTCCAAAGAGTATGTGTTGTTTTAAATCAGTAAAAACCTTTAAGAAGTTAAAAACGTAAGCCGGGGACGGCGGTGCACGTCTGTCTCCCCGGCCCTCAGAAGGATGAGGCCGGAGGGTCGCCCGAAGGTCCAGGCTGGCGTAGGGAGACCCTGTTTCCAGGCACCCCGGTGGGTGCGGAGCAGCTCGCTGGCAGAGCGCTGGCCCGCCCGGCACCTCACCAGTTCTCCAGGCGGTCCAGGCAGATGTTGGGGGGACCCCCGATGCACGCGATCTGCTGCCGCCTCTTCCAGTCCGCCAGCTCCTCGTCCGTGAGCGTCTTCTGCACGTATTCCATGGCCGACAGCAGCCCGGCCAGCTCGCTCACGATGCTCTGTCAGACCGAGCCGGTGGCTGAGTCAGCGCGGTCTCCCGCAGGCACCCCGCCCGCACGGCCGCCCGCACCCACCCTGCGCATCTGGTCCAGCGCCGTCAGCATCTGCTCCAGCTGCTGCATCTTCTGCCGCGTGGCGGCCTGGCTGTTCCCGTTCAGGTCCTGCATGTCTGCCAGGAGACGCGAGGCTGAGGCAGGAGGGTCGCCACGAGTCCCAGGCTGGCCTGGGCCACACGGGAGACCCCGTCTCCAGAAGCAAAACAAACCAGAAAGCACAAGGCAAACCCGGGGCCCCAGAGAGTGGAGCCCCAGCCCCACCTGAAGCCCCCGGCGAGCACGGCCGCTCCTCCTGCCCGCGCCCCGCCCACTTGCCTCCCTGACTCTTCAGGGTCTTGTAGTTGAAGTCGAAGTCGTCCTGCAGGTTCTCCACCACCTTCATTTTCTGCTCCAGGTCCTGCTCCAGCCGAGGAGAGAGCGGAAGTCAGCGGCGTGGCCATCGCCCAGCGCCCCGCAGCTCCGCCCCGCCCCGCGGCCTCACCTGCACCCGCTTCCGCACGTCCTGCAGGTGCTGCTCCAGCATCTGCTGCTTCTCCGTCACCACGGCCGCCGTCGGGTGGTTGGCCTGGCCCCCTTGCTGCGGGGGGCGGCACGCACTCGTGACCCAGGGACACGAGCGGGAACAGTCTGGCCTCCACCCTGCCACCCCTCACGGCTCAAGACACAAGGGGAAACTGAGGCAGGGCTGGTCTGGGCGTGGTGCCCAGGCTGCCTTGAAGCCGCAGTCTCTGCTGCCTGGTCACCCTATGAGCCACGCGGCACCGTGCCCGTGGGTGGGTCAGGGAAACTCATGCGGGCAGGGTAAACCCAGAGCGACTGTCACGGCAGATGCCGCCGTCCATTTCAGCAGGGTGTGCGAGCCGGCACACCTGTATCCCCAGCACTTGGGAGGCTGGGGCAGGAGGACTGCAAGTTGGAGCCCTGCTTGGGTAGCTCAATGAGAACCCACCTCAAAATAGAAAATAAAACAGGCTGTTGATCAATGGCAAGGCCCTGGGTTCAACCCCTGTACCAGCAAAATGAAAAACAACTGATATAAAATACATTTCTATGGAACAGAAAGGGCCAGGCGTGGTGGTAAAAACCTGTAGTCGAAGCTTCAGGAGGCTGAGGCAGGAGGATCGATGCAGCCAAGCTAGCCTGGGCTACATATCAAGACCCCGTCTGAAAAGCCCGGAGCATCTCCGCATGGGTGGACATTCTCCCCGAGGAGGGGAGGCCACCTTGGGGTCAGCGACCCGTGACAGCTGCTGGTGGCTGAGGACAGAGATAGTGACAGGCAGAGCAGAGCTGGGGGAGACATCGGGGCGCTTGGGCTCTGCTCAGCCTGTCTTCTCCACCATACACAACTCTCCACACAGGCCTGCTTGCCGATTTTGTTTTTTATTTGCACTTTAGTTTTTGTAGTGGTGGTGACTGAACCCAGGGTCTTGCCATTGAGCTACATCCTGGTCCCTTCGCTTTTTATTTTATTTATTTATCTTTCGTACCATGGATTGAACTCAGGTCCTTGTACTGGTGAGGCAGGTGGTGGAACCACTGAGCTAAATCCCTGGCCACTTTTTATTTTTGAGATAAGGCCTTACCAGTTGTCCAGGGTGGGCTTGAACTTATGACCCTCCTGCCTCAGCCTCCCAAAGTGCTGGGATCACAGGCGAGTGCCCTGCACTTGGCTAGAACCAGACTTGAAAAGCATGGGGCTTGGGAAGACGAGTGTCACTGTCTTGTCCACGGATCCTCGCACTATGGGTCTAGTTAAATTTTCCTTTCTTTTTAGCTTGTTAGTGCCTCTGCGCCGGTCGGGCCTCACCCCACACCCAGGCATCAGGCCACCTCTCACCTGGGCCGCGGTGGCGGCCGTCTGCAGGAGGCGCGACTCCTCCCACAGGCACCGGGCCACGATGCGTGCAATCTCCATGGGCTTCTCCAGGTACCTGCTCTGTGGGGAGGGAGTGGGGCCGAGATGCCACAGGCTGTGGACCCTTCCATCCCAGCACTCAGGAGGCGAAGCAGGAGGGTCACTGCCAGTTGGAGGCCAGCCTGGGCTACGGGGGGAGTTCAGAGCCAGCGCTGGGTGGGTGTCATGCTGGGGACAGGAGCTGTGGGCCTGATCTCTGGACATCTGTCATCCCGGTCTGGGGGGGGCGTGGCTGACCTGATTGACAGGCGGGAGGGCGAGACACAGAGGGACTTCTGGGTACCGGGGCTGGGTGAGGGAGGGGCCTGGGAAGCTGCAACTCCTTGGGTAGAATCCTGGCTCCCAGCCCTGCCCGGCCCCTCCACAGCCCAGCCCGCCCCACACCTGCAGGAACTGCTTGATGCGGCGCAGGTTGTGCTGGTAGAGGACGTTGGACTCCTGCAGGAAGCGGCTGTACTGCTGGTCGATCTCGCCCAGGAGGTTGTGGAACACCAGCGTGGCGTGCGACTCCTTGCTGGCTGCGTATGCCCTGGGGAGGAGACCCGAGAAGAGTGGTTCTGAGACCCTCATTCCGAGTGGCTGAGGCAGGGGGATCCCAAGATCCAGCCCAGTCTGGGCAATTTCCTGACTTAGTGAGAACTTATCTCAAAAGGGGGGTGCTGAGGACGGAGCTCAGAGCAAAGGTGGTGGGTTCTCTACCCAGGACTAAAAAACAAACAAGTAGGGCAGCTCCACTGCTATAACCCACTCAGCATTTCTAATCTATCCTGCTCTGTAACAATTTAGTAATCACTAACAGTGTTCCCACGTATTAGCCACTCTCCTAGTCTACATGTAAAAGAACAAAAAACAAAACAAAGAAATCTTGTGGGCCAGGGCTTTAGCTCAGCAGTGCCACCTCCTCCCTCGTAAACACAGGACCTGAGTTCGAACCCCGCGCCGCCCTCACCAGTCCTGGCTCTCGATCCAGGGCGCCAGGAACTGCCGCAGCTCCATGGGGAAGCTGTCACTGTACAGCTGATGCAGCTGCTCCAGGTACCGCGTGTCCAGCTGCTGCAGCTGGTTCCACTGCGCCATGCTGCCGGCTCAAGTCCCACCTGCAACCGAAGTGCCTGTCACCACCAGCCCGGCAGCTCCGTGTCCCCCACACAGGAGGCAGGGCGGGGGCAGGGGCGGTGATGTGTGGGGAGGGGCTCACATGGCCCTGTCTCACAGAGACGCACATCCACACCACTCTCTGCTTTTACCTGGGGGGGCAAGTCGGCGCCATGCCCGTTTCCAGACTCAGTGGTTATTTTTGTTGCGTTTTCTTTTGAGACAGGGTCTCACCGTGTACCCGGCTGGCCTCAAACTCATGGTGATTCCCCTGCCTCAGCCTCCTGATCACCAGGATCATAGTGTGCGCCATACAACCTGACTTAGAATCTAGTATGGACCAGAAGTGTGTGAAGTAGCTGGGCATGGTGGCACATGCCTATCATCCCAGAACTTGGGAGGCTGAGGCAGGAAGATCCCCAAGAGGTCGAGGCCAGCCTGGGGCACGAGGTGAGACCCTGTCTTAAAAAAAAAAAAAAAAAAAAAAAAAAAGAAAAAAAAAAAAAAAAAAAAAAAAATTTTAAAAAAAGGGGGGGGG